CACGTCTGTCTCTGAGTTTGACAGCCAAGCAACTGAAAGGATTCCTGCTGCTTAGAGCAGGAGCCACAGCTCCAGAGCAACACTCCCACTTTAACTCACACAGGGAACTGATCTCCAATATAAATAAATACATTGTTAATAATAAATAACAATTTGTTAATAGGAAAGTATTTTTATTTCATTTTAAAGGTGCATTTAATCTTCAAGGTGGTGTCAGTACTAATATGTTAAAAATAAACAAGCAGTAGCAGATTTATTACATAGTTATGTGCTCTATGTGTCCTAAACTGTAGGAATTCCAGGATGCATTCTTTGTAAAGGTTTTAAAAGTTAAAATAACACAGGATCAGATTTGACTTTAAACATAACTGTTCAGTTTGTTCTGTAAATGCACATATATATATATATATATATATATATATATATATATATATATATATATATATATATATATATATATATATATATATATAAGTAATGTACTCCAATACGACATGTTTACCAGGTCATTATAAAGCGTTTGTAGGATTGTTGTACAGAGATTAGAATAATCTGTTTAGTTTTTTCGCAGAATAGGGATGTGCTGCCATCGTGTGGTAAAAGGATGTAATTACACGAGGAAAGTATGGGCCTATAGAATTTACAGTCTAACGATAAGATAAGGTGACGTGTTTTCATGATGACATTAATGATGACATTAATGAAACAGGTAGTTATAAGCAGTTATAAATGTGTGTATTATGAGACACTTTCTGATTATCAACGTTGTTTTGAGTCTTTCAGAAGACAATGTAAGAATATATTTGCGTATTTATTTAATCATTTCATAATGATGATGATGATGATGATGATTTAGGCTTATGGTCAGATGCACAAGGTGTTGATTTAAATGCAAGTTATTTAAACATAAAAAATTGCAGACAATGTTTTTGAAGGTTTTCCTGATTTGAGCTTTAAATAAAGAAACAAATATATAATGTATTTTAGAGATATAGATGTAAATCCTAAATGATCCTTCCTCTTAAAGAGAAAAATATGACATTTTCAAGTCATTTTTTTTTTATTTGTAGTATAATTAAGTGAGAAACCTTGAGGATGTCTTTTGGGGGAAAAAAAGTTTTGCATCTATTGTTAATGTGTCTTTACTGATATGGATATTTTATTTGCAAAAAAAAAAAAAAAAAAGCTGGTGCAAAGATTGTAAATCAACCATGCATTTCATTTTAAACAGGCCATGAAGTTGTCATGATCTGCCCCGATTGCTGACCTTAATTGTTAATTTTACTTACCAGCCCAACTCTGCCCGGTCTCTAATTACCACTCATCATATACACCTGCGCATGGTGCTTTATATACGGCTCAACCCAGCTATACGGGCCAGATCATTAGATGTTGTTTGTTCTGTTTTTGTTAGTTCGAGTTAGTCTAAGGTTCATGTTCCGTTACCCGGAGGCCATGGCCTGGCTCTTTCCTGCTGTGCTCTTTAGTTAGTTTAATGACCCATAGTCCTGGCTCCTTTGTGGAGTACAGTTTAAAGCTCTCCACTTATTCTGGTACCATGTCTAGTCTCTGTACCCCACTGCCTGTCTGCATCTGTGCATTTCTGTCTCAGCTCGTTGCTTGACCCATGGAACTCTGAACCTGCCTTCATGCTCTGTGGATTCCTGGAACCCTGGATCACTCTGTTTATGTTGGATCGGAACCCCTGACGGGGCTGTGGACTACTGGATTCCAAAACTGTCCTCTTTTTCCTGATGAGGATCGGATTCATGCCTGCTCACTGTGGTTTCTGCAACGGGGACACTCTGGGCGGCTCTGCGACACAGCTCGTTTGGCAGTCCATTGGCTAGATCTCGCCTTCCTTGGAGAGGATGGACTGAACTGTTAAACCTGAGTGTCAGTGATTAGACGGTGCCCCGCCTCCCCCCTGCAGCCACAATAGCCCACTTCTGTTCTGTTATGTGTTTTTGGTTGATGGGCGTTTTGGACCTTCCTACTGTCTGTCTGCTACCGGAGGGGGGTGGACTGTGCCGGACAACCCTTTGGTACTCCCAGTTTTAATTACACTTGAGAACAACACGCAACAACACAACATTTGAGCGGGCGTAGGGAAGATCCGGGTCTTTCTCACACCCCGGTTCTCCGGTTTCCAACCGCTTTGTCCAGGGTCTTGGCAGGGGCTTATGGCCTGTGTGGACTGCCGGTGCTGTCATTTCTGCTCTCCCCAAAGGGAGATGGGGGGAGGGGTGGCTGGGGTATAGAGAGGGAGGAAGTGGAATTGTTTATTTAGTGGGGGATGGAGACTCTGGTTGGGTAGCCTGTGCAGGACATGTTGGCCCCGTCCCCGGAGGGCTTTTATTGGGGGTTGTTTGGTCCGGGTTCGGGGTGGGGGGCTATGTCCGAAGCAGGAACTATATGGGTTAGTGTGGCGGTGACACCGCTCCACCTCCCCCAATCTGAATTTCAGGTTCATCTACTGGGTCATCCGGGACTGGCCACCTGCACCTCCGGGTCCTCGGCCCTGGGATTCTTGGATGTGAGTGTAATGTTTGAATGTGCGACCGTGTTTTATGTTTTTTTTCTTCACAGAAAATTGTTGAGAGTGGGAGAACTAGGTTGGGAAGGCATGATTGAGACTGTGTAAATATATATATGTATATATTTTACTTTACTTGTCAGGTTCGGATGTGAACTGCTCCCTCTCCCAATAACATCTCAAGTGTCCGCTAAGTGAGGAGCCCATTCCCCCCGTCCTGCCCCCCCTCCGCTGGCTGGCGCTTGGCTCACTCGCTTGGTGCAATGGTGGTGCTCAGTGTATGCCCGGGCAAGTACTGGCTTATTCCTCACGGCTGCTCCCCGGGGCCCGGTTGGTGGTCCGGGGCCTCGGGTTCCCCCAGCGCTCGCCCCGCTGCTCTGGAGGGGAGGGTCTTTGGCTCTTCACAACCACTATTGAGCATTTGTCCTTTGGATAAACTTTACATGCACAAGTTCACTCTCACAAACAACTACAGGTGCTTGGTTCCAGGTATTTAGAGATTCACTTCCATACAGAAAGCCCATATATCTACTACCACATTATACATGTCAGATTAAAGAATACTACTTATACTTCAGCGATAGTATCTAGGTATTACTTCATTGTATCTCTTATACTATATCCATTGGTAATGTTCTTTTTACATCTCTTTGCAGGTGATGAAGCAGACTCAAGATGTTTTATCGTTATCTCCCTTTTATCTCCTCTTTCTTTCATTTTTTTTTCTGTTTTTCCTTTCCTGTTCTACTTACATTGCAGTGTCCATATAATCCTTAATACTTAATGCATGAATTATAATAAAGCTATTTACATGAATAAATCATGCGGAACACTATGGCGATTGCCGTACTGCTCCACTTGTGAAAGCAAAATCTCTTGGGCTCTTTTTGGCATCAAGAAAATTATTCTTATTGCCACCTTGCCAGACAGGACACTGTTAAAAAAACAAACAATGATCTGGCACCGATAACTGGGCTGACCCATATATAAAGCAGAACATGCAGGTGGATGAGATGAGTGATAATTAGAGACCAGGAAGAGTTAGGCAGGTGAGGGACATGAACAATTAAGGTCAACTATCAGGGCAGATCATGGCAGAAGCAGGATGACTCAATTAAATTCTGTTTATTCATATAACACTAATTCAAAACACAGACAATTCAACCAGATCATCCAATCAGACTGCCAATAATCAATCAGCGTCATGCTGAAACAGTAATTTTCTTCAAAAGTTCTTTCCAAGTACTATGACTTTCTTTTATCTCCACTTAACACTAATAAACTACTTTTAGTTTTTTAATCACATATAATACCAATGTAATATACTTTTGCCCATTAAGGAATGACATATTTGACCTGACATATTCCCCTCAGAAATGGTTGTGACAGTATATGATTTACTCAACAGAAGTGATTATCCTCCTCAAAATTGCATCAGTCAAGTTATAAATAACAGCAGAAGTAGATTTTTGTGGTTGTAACAATTAGAAAAACTGTGGGAGTATAAATAATTTTGTAAACTACTGGAAAATTTCCCCTACATTTATTTTTCAGCACTAGTTTAGCTATTCTCTAGCAGAAACAGACATTCAAAGAATACATGCAGCAGAAAAAAACATGGTCTATTAAAAACTACAGTAACCCAAACCATTATACTGTGCAAATATCATGAGTAATGTCATCATAGCTACACAAATAAATACAATTATTTAGAACAAGTCTAGATCTTTTAACATTTGTACATAACTTGTAGTATAATGTTGTCAGTGCATTGGTAATATGGTTGAAATGCATTTTAAAACCAATAATGGTTTCTGCACCAGGGAAGCATTCTATTATTCTCATCCCTGGCCAGCATAAAACATATTTCCTGATAAAGTTTAACATGTAACATATTGAAATATTTACTGATGTGAATTTCAAGGACTCAGAAAAGAATAATGAACGATAATAATAAGTTTCATGAAGATGTCTCTGATTATCTGTGAAATATTTTAATCCAAACAGGTGATTTTCAATGAATTATGGTACTTTAATGTTAATTAATTGCAGTAAATGTATTCAAAAAGTAAAACGTGTATGTAAAAAACAGTGTGACACAAAAATTCTCGTTTTGTTTTTATGACTATGGCTGTAAAATAATTAAAAACAAAAAATTCAGCTTTTTGTAATGTTTTTATGTTCATTAAGGCTAAAAAGGGTCTTCAGCATGTGCCATTTTGTATGATACTATTCTAATATACTTAGATACTCATGTTACACCATTTATTGACCGTAATTAAATATATTTAACCTAATAAGAAATCTTCCGGCACATAATATTTCCAGTGACAACAGCGCCTCCTAGCGGACTAGTTTAAACTAACAGCCATGTTTAACCGGGCGGATCGCCTACTCATAGGCCCCTCCTTCGCAGAATGGGTATCTGACGTAGGCGTTCGAGGGTAGCAACAGTTGCCTTGAGACCCCGCCGCGCTATAGTGACTGTAGCCGTGGAGACAGTTACTTACCAACGGGCGCAACACTCAGCAACAGCAGCAGCAGCATCTGGAAGTCACCGAGTGAGTTGGAGAGAGGGAAAGAGAGCAGTTCCAGGGCAGAACTTTTCTCAAGGCAAAGGTGATTTTATGTTTATAACATTTGGAGAATGGCTTAATTCAAAAGGGAGAAAGAAATATGTGTTCTCGAAGGCGTCTTACTGACTGTAACTTTCTCCTATTTCTGGCATCCGCCCCAAGTTGCGAACAGCTTCTTTTTCTTCCCTTCCGTTAAACGATAAAATTTCACTTCTAATATTCTTGCTGGGTCTTTTCCTACTTTTCCTACAGAATGCTTTCATATCAGATTCTAAATAACAGCAACTCTGAACTAATTCACCACTTTACACTTGTTGCTACCAAACCGAGCCGTAAACGCTCCCTGGGCTCCAGCAGGATGGATGGATGGATAAACCTAGAGTACGGCTAATGCTAGTTTTACTCGCTCACGTGAGAGTAAGTTGACTTGTGAGTTTGAACGCGGCTGGTGCGTTTTGAGAATTGTTTTCGGCGTTTTATTTAGACAAACGCGGTTAAACTTTGACCGGCACAGCGTCGCTTTTGGGGCCGTTTTAACAGGTGGAAGTGTCGCTAGCTGTAGCCTTTAGCCCCGCTGGCTTCTGTTGCTACAACGGTTACCAACGTTCGGCTCGCGACACTTTCAGTGAGGTTCACACTGGAGGGTTTTTACTCTTTTTTTCATAAAAAGAAAAATTTTAAAACATTTTTAAGCGAAGTAGAGAGACATTACATGTTTTATGTGTTTTTTCTTAAAATAAAACTTACCGTAATTATCAGAATATCCAATGCTTAAAATGGTTCCCTATAAAGTTAAATTGCTTTCAGTATTTCTGGCCTAACTTTATTAACACGATGAGTTACAGCTAGGTGGTGCCACTGCATGAAGATTCCTACTGTTATACTGTTGTGTTTAAAGTCCTTTTATTGATTTATAAGGATCATTTGTTTCCTTAATATAAAGTGATTGGAGTTAACTTTAGACTTGCTTCTATAACCATTTATTATTATTAGAGAAGGCCTTAGAGGATAGTTGTTTTCAGCTGGCTTTTATTTGTTCAATTTGGCAGTAGTTTTATTTATCTGAATCTCAGCCATAAATCTGATGAGAAGAATGGATAAAGTAGATCCCTGGGATTTTTAGAGGCCATAGCTTTCGTTTTATAGTTTTTCTCTACAAAACACTACAAATTCTCTTTTCCTGTCAGGTTTTTGCCTTGTTTTGTCTCAGGGGGGACATTATTCCTCAGAACCTGTTTCCTGAAAAACATCCCATCAGGTTTTTGATGTTTTATAGTTTTTACCATGTAAATTAAATCAGCGATCTGTTTGATAAAGACACACAGATCAATGATTATTTTTTTTTGCCAGTTTCCAAACAGTGTTCTACTTTTTAAAAATTAGTTTTATGTAAAGAAGGGCTATCTTAATGTTTTAGCCTAAACTTGTATTTTTCTAGAAATGGAAGGGCAGAAGAATATGTTTTCTGCGCTTTCTAAAAAGTAGACCTTCTTAACTCATCACCTTAAATCTCCAAATACAATACATTTCTACAAGGTGTGATAAAGTCAGATCATTGTACTTTAACAGCCTCTTTACACCAGTCAATGAGAAGCCAGTTAGGTTTGGATCAGAGGTGATATGACTTTGTGTGAGGAAGTGTTACATTACCATCTCAAAGACAGAAAGATTACAGGGTTGACACTTTAAAATGTCTTTAGCATCTTATATCAACACTTAAATCAATAACAACCGTCTAGATTCTCGTTTCTGCTCTGAGATTCCATAAAAATTCCGGTATTTCCAGATCCAGCATCTGATCCGTGTTGCTTTAATTCCCGCCTAAATGTGGATTTTAGTTCAATTTCCCACAGAAAGGCAACGTAAAAAAAAAGCTTGAAGTTTCTGTTTCCGATGCAGGCAGGTCTAAGAGGAAAGGGATGGGGAAACCTGGTGGAGCAGAACATAAATAATTGTTTTTCTGTCTAACTTTGTGTTTTTTGCCACTTGTTTGCAAGAAACTTAAATTTTAGAAGCTTCAACTTTATGCTTATAATCCCTGTTTTAAGAACCCAATATGAACTCTGTGACTTGGTTCTGCGTTTTCATTCACATTTTCCATTTTTGTTCCAAGTTTGTGTTATCAGAGCAAATCTGTTTTCCTCAAACTAAATGTTCCTCACATTTTTAAATGCTGTTCCCTTGGAGTGCTACCAACTACTTCCAAATGTAAATCTCTGTTTTGGAGTGCGATAATTCGATCAGTCAGACATTCCTCACAGAGGCAATAAGAGCAAATCATAACAGTGATATCAAAGCGATGATTCTGCTGAAACTGTAAAACCTCCACCAGCCCCACCTCCCTGTTTAAGCGTGACACTGTTATGTTTACATGGCAACTTGATACACAAAACACAGAAGGCATGGAAAGAAAAGGGGTCAGAGTTGGCCAAGGAATGAAATGTCCGGATCAGGTATATTTTATCTACCTCTGCTTGCTCCCGGGCTGCATACCTTTAGTTTGTGCTGGCAGGTCTGAGAGAAAAGCTATGTGGAAAGCATCTGGTGAAACAGTGCAGAAGTATTTTATTTTATTTCTAATGTTGCTTCAATAATGTGATGAATAGCTCTGGGCTTATCATTCTGTCTAAAGCTATTTTAGCTCAAAACTGGTGTGATTTCATGGAAAAAAGCTGTTGCTATAAATTGTTGGATTGTTATATTACATGATTAGGCACTTGTAGAGCTCAGTATGCAGTAGAGCAGCTGCAGAGAGCAGTGGGTGACTCCACTGACCTAACTCAGCTTTTACTTATTTGTTCAATCTGAGTGAATTGTCTGTGTGTGTTTATAGGTGTGTTGTGGTGCTGGTTGCTAATGGAGTATTTAGCAGTCCTGACTAGAACCCTCTGTGACCCTCAGGGAAAACGTTTTAGCTTACTATAGATTAGTCATTGTGGAGTGATCCTATAGTATCGAAACTTTTATAAAAAAAAAAAAAAAACAGCAATTGTGATGTTTGTGTATAGTTTGAATAAAAAGTAATGCAAGGAACAAATATCCCAACCGCTTCATAAAATGGATGATTGGACATTTAAGTTGGATGTGCTTTTCAACTACCACCTTTTAGCGGTTTTGGTTTTTGTAGTTTCCACACTCTGATGTAGTCATTGCATTTCAAAGCATGTCCAAACAGCTGAATTTGTCATATAAACGAAGGAACGGCTCCGTTCCCTCTTTCAACCAGATGAGCAACAGTGTGTTGCAACAGGTGGGCAGGGTTCAGGCTGAGTTATTTATGTTGAAATTTTCTCTTGTACCTGTTTAAAATAACTGGAAAAGGTCCCTTTTTTTTCTTACCTTCATACAAGATGTCGAATACAATCTGCTAATCTCCCGAAGAGCTTACTGTCATGCATTTGATGTTTGCATATGTGTCTTTTGAAAAGGGAGATCTATTTTTGCACATGCCTTTCTCATTTTTTAAGATCCAGTTAATGGTTTATAGCTGAACCCATGTCATAGCATGTCAGGAAATCACACGGCAGAACAGAACGGCTGAGAGCAGAACGCCCTGTGGGGGCTTGTTAAATAGAAATGTGCCATTAGTACATAAATTTTATGTTACACTTTCATTATCTCCACAAGTCACTGGTCTGTTGAGTGACACGCTGTTATCTGTAAGCAGAACTGTCTCTGTTGCGTTAAGTCAATCTAGAGAGATTTTGGAAACTGTGAGGGTTTTCTTGCTGCTAGGAGACGGAGAAACAACTCTTGTTGTTCCCTCCGAAAATGCGATCACCGATTCGCCCTCGTGTGCTGGTAACAAGCCGAGACTTGTTGTGAAATGAAATGTTTTTCCCTCTGTACCCCACGTCTGAGTGTATGTGTCATCAGCTGCATACCTTGCATTACACCTGCTTGTTTCATGGTTACACAACTGCTAATTAAATTTCCTGCCACAAACTGAAGACAAGGGAGCAAGATTTGCATTAGAATGACCCACCCCCTCCCTGGGTTCAGGCGGATAACTGCAGACCCCTATTTGCTCCCCACTTTTCCTTTCCTTTGTGGAGTTAAGGGCTAGTTTGGCAATAAAAAGGTCTGTTGGTGAAGACCTGCCTCAAAGTTCTAAAAGGATCCCAGATTAATCTTTTTTGTTGAGCTAAGTTTTCAGCAGTCAGCAAAGAATGAGATGCAGAATGAGTTTTTAGATTTTCTCTTAGTTCTACAACATTTTTTTAACCAAGCATGGGAAGCAGTGGCAAAGACTCAGAGAAGACCCAGCTTTGTTTCAGCCCACATCTGGATGTGGATTTGCTGTTCTTTAGATCCTCGTTTTAATCATCAACAGTTTTCTCTTCCCCCACACCAGATTTAAATAGCTTTACCCTGGTCCTTGTGGGACACGTGTTCCATTTCTTTAGCATGTTAATATTTAACAAACAAATCAACTATAGTTGGACCAAAAGCAACTTCTGGCAGTGGCCTTCATGTGAGCACAGTTTGTAGTTTATTTTCTAAGTTAATATAGATGCAGGTCTTTGCTTAATTCACAAAAAAGCAAACTGTGAAACAAGGTGTGTTCACATTGAATGCAAATTTAGCTTCTGGACCGAAGCATTTCCACGTTATGCCCATGTAGAGGGCTCCTCAGAAGGACTGCAAGGCGAGTGTGCCGCTCTACCTATGAAGGTTTGCAAGAGAAATTCGCAGCAGTTGGAAAATCTGAACTTTAGTGTATTTTCGCATCACAACATACAACAGAAGTAGATGCTGTCACTCAAGATGAGAGATGGAGAAAATAATTTTGACAAAGGATATAGTAGGGAATGCCCTGATCAGTTTGAAGGTGGCTTTTAAAAATGCAGTTTTAATTCAGTCCTAGAATGACTGTGAAATTATTTATCGTTCGTAATTTCCTTAGCTCCAGCACAGACACCGTCCAGTTCCTGCCGCCTCTCCCCGGTTCTGCTCAGCAGACTTCTCTGATCCCTCGCTGTTCTCCAGCTGTGGGTTGCTGCTCTGATTTCCTGCAGCTTGTGTCTTGAGCCGTCTCACCTT